TCATGAGAAAATCGTTAATTTTCATGTTCCTAAGAAAACCGTTGGAATTTGTTCGTGTAAGACATTTCAAGGTAAATTGCTTTTACCAAACGAGTACAAAAATGACCTTCCCAGGGAGAGAGAAGAACTATTTACTTTCTAACAGTAGATTTACATGTTAAATCAACAATAACAAGATCCTACAGGAGTTTGTTTTGATGTGAATTAATTTCGTGCCTGTCTCTATTCTTCAATTTCTTTAAAATTATCAGTCTTAAAATAATATTTTTACATATAAATGACCATCTTTGTATCTACATATTATAAATGACCAGTCAACTCTGACTTCTCTTTTTAGAGAGAGACGAAAATTTAAGAAGATAAAGGAAAATACTATTGAAAGTAATGTTCAAAGAAAGGTAGCAAAAACACTTTTTCAATTGTTTCGATCACAATAATATTTGAAATTCTGATAAAAAGCTCTTATAAATCACGTTTACATTTTTTTTATAGTTAGGACCATGGCTCTTAAAAAAACTTAAGCAGTAAAAGGTAAGCGGTAAGCGAATTGACCAATCATAGTAGAGTAAGTCCATAACGTAAGCAGTAACCAATCCAACATGTTGGACATTTTTTCACTATTTACGTCTTATCGCCTTAAGTTTTTTGTGTGCCATGTCCCTTGTGGAACGTCTGTTACTTTTTATTACCTTTCAATAACCATTGAATTTTCTCGTCGGATTATTCACTAAAATTTATGAAATTCTTTATAGGATTTTCAGATAATACAATTCGTATGAATGAATGGAGAAATTGTAAAAATCTTTCACTTTCTCTCTTAAATCGAAGGACGAAACGGGAACTTTGGAGAATCTTTTTAACACGGTTATTGTAGGTTCTGTATTTATTGAAAACATTTGTAAATGTTATTTACGCTTTCTAAAGTTTCATTATATTGTATTCATCTATTGTCTTTTATTCGAATTTTCCGCATTGATAACACTCGAAGGGTCGAGTCCTATGCATAGAATAGTTGTTCATTGTACCTCACCGGGTACGGTATATACACATTACCAGCGTTTCTTTGTGACAATTTTACAGGTATGTACAAATTAGCATCGTTAGGCTATTAGAACGATGACGAAATACATTTACTGGGTAACGGAAGCCTCAACGGTTTAGCTGATCTTATTGTTAGTGCTTAAATAATATTTTCAATGCGAATTTATATGCACAATTGCATACATATTCAGTTCTATTAAACATATTTAATTTTTTAACATTTTTCGTAATTAAATGCATACGTTGAATAATATGTATGTTGCTTATACAATAAACACACGATGTGTATTTTGACAGCAAGGAACCAGAAGGAAGATTCTCTTTACTATCACGACAAATGAGGGCAAAAAATCTAAAGATATTCTTCTTGAATAAATGTTGATAGCTCGGACTTAAATAAAGACATTGGGATTTCAGGGGAAATATGCAGCATACAATCTTCAGCGATGATATTTCTTTTTTTAAAAACGATTCTGTAGAACTGTCGTGATAATAACGTACAATTATATCATTTGCTACAACGGTACGATTAAAAAAGACAAAGTTTTTCAGAAGATAAATTTTAATATTGTGAATCATTAAAAAAATTTTGTAATATTAATTTTAAAATGCAATTTTGATGAAATTAACTGATTGTAGAGGAATAAAAATGTGTTTCTTTTAAAATATATTCTTTATTTTTTGTTAAGTATTCGTTTTTTTTTTTGCCAACAATTAACAATGACAGTTTTTTAACTTTTTAGCGTTGTAGCAAATGAGCGATATACGTTGCGCTATTAGAGGAATAAAAATGTGTTCTTTTAGTTTTAATGGTTGTTTATTTTTTTAAGTTTTCGTTTTTTTTGCAAGCAACTATAAATTAATAATTTTTTTAGTTACGTCATAGTCAATAAGCGATATATGTTGCATTAATGGAGGAATAAAAATGTATTTTTAATGGTTTTTTTTTTAAATTACCATTTTTTGCAAGCAATTATAAAATGACAATTTTTTAGTTAGTTCTGTCGTAGCAAATGAGCAATATATGTTGCGTTAATAGAGGAATAAAAATGTGTTCTTTTAAATGGTTCTTTATTTCTTTTATCCGTTTTTTGCGAGCAATTAAAAAAATGACAATTTTTTAATTATGTCAGTATTGTAATATAACAAATGAGAAATATGTTGCGTTATATACACGTTGCACGCGTATAACGAATAAAATAAAATAAGGAGCGTTTTTCTTCGATCTCAAATAACAAAGTATAGCGTAAAGTTTTGCGGGACGAGCCATAAAACTTCATATCTAAAGTTTCGGCAGAAGCACAGATTTTTGCATAACGCATGAGACATAAGAAAATCAACCGGAGTCTTTTATTTCGAGAAAAGAAAAGAAAGAAACGAAGAACTCGATCGGCTTATTTTTTTATGCATTATGCAGGACTTCTCTCTCTCTCTCTCTCTCTCTGCCCTTAATCCTTATAAATACAATAGATATAGGATTGAGTAAAATTTAATTGAGCCTGAAGGAATTAATGTGAGAAAAATATTCTAGACTATTCTAGAATATTCTGTGTGTATTCCACAATACATTTCTGACAGGTTGAAATTCTTATTATCTGTTCCTTTTATTGTGCGGAGCCTTTTAGGCTTACGAAGGATGCATTCCATCAAAAACGCAGAGGAGACCCATATAACACAATGAGTTCGTAGGCAAACAAGAAGAAGGATGATTCACCGTGCTACACAGTGTCTCTGTCCTTCCTAAAAAGCACCAGAAACTCAAACTATCCCTTCTAGAAAAAAGTACGAGAAATTCAAAGTAAATTTCGGAAAGCGATCGGCGGAGGGGGAGCGAGGTCCCCGTCCCGTCGTTACGTTCCTGTAGATCATTTATTCACCGAGCAGGTAGATGGCGTCGGAGTCAACAGGCGGTACGCGCTTAATTCGCGGTGATTCGTCGTAGGTCGGTATGGGAAGGGCTCGTCTACTCTCACTCGCTCTCAGTCGAACCTAACGCGTCCCTTGGCGAAGGGTACGCTCGCGTCACCCCGAGTTTACTTGGCTCCATCGACGCACGAGTCTCGTCATTCATCCGGAGAAACTCTTCGCAGCACGAAGTGAGTGTGTGTGCCGTGGAACGAACGACGCGCTCGCTCCATCAGTCGCGGTCTCTTTCTCCCGTCTATCCGTCGGTGGTTCTCGGTCGTGCGCCATAGGACATTCCGTGCACCGTGTCGCGTAACGTTCAGCCCGCGCCATTATACGTGCGTGTGCGCGCGCTGTGTGGTGGCGGCTGTGCGTGCGTGCGTGCTGCACGCGGGTGAGAGAAAACGCGTGACGATCGACGCGAGACGAGCGGTTGATAGTGACTCGATGATCTCGGCGGGATCTCGTTCTTCCTTCTCGCTCTCCCTCCGTTTTATCTCCCTCGTTCGAAGACGCATCCCGCGAGCAGGGTTGGGCACGCATTATATCAAACAAACGTTCTGTACACGATTTTTCTAATACCGCACGTCGGACGTATCGTACTTTATACGCGTTATACGTATCGTTCGTATCACACCTGTATTATACAGACGTATTATTTTCGTAAGCGACTACTCGCAGCGGAAAATTGCCCAACTCTGCTCCCGACGGTATAAACCTATAAACGCGAGAGGGGTTCCACGCTCGGGCTCGGACGACGAGTTGGCGCGCTCGGGACTTGTCGGCGCGCGGCCCGAAAGCGCCCGATTCACCACAACAGTAGCCTCGCCGCCGTCCCGATCTCTCACGGTCGCGGCAGCAGAGGGCTAAAAATTGTCTCTCTCTCATTCTCGTTTTCATTCGGCGACGCGGCGGAACGCAGCCACGCGCGTGGCCGGCTCCGACCTGGTAAAATAAGCCGCGTGTTCCGCTCGGTAGAGTCTCGACCGGAGTGTTAAACGCTCGTGAGCGCGGGAGTGGGCGATACACGGACACGGATCTACGGACGTAGCGACGTAGGGCGCGCGCGAGAGGAAGGGGTAGAGGGGAGAGACGAGACGACGCGCCGCGCCGGTCGAGCCTTAAATATCGATTTTGGACGGGCCGCGATAGTCCGCCACCTATGCCGAGTAAGCGAGCGACATTCACGCGCCGCGACGACGACGATTCTCCCGTGACAGTCGGCGACGGCCGCGCGACGGTCGCGCGACAATCCTCTCGTAAAGTATTCGTTTTTCGCAGGTGCTGTAGTTCGAGGTCACGTACGTCAAGTGATCTCGTCGAGTGAGTGATTGGACGGTGTTCTCTCTCTCTCTCTCTCACTCACTCACTCTCTCCCTGTCACTCACTCTATCTAAACGTGAGAATCCTGTGCGACCACGTGTGCGTCTTGGTATTATCCCCGTTCGACGAGGCGAGTAAACGACAGACTCGCCGGCGATGCTTGATGCCGCTCGTGGGGAGAAGCGCGACGAGGGCCATCATCCACCGAGGACGGCGAAGATTTAGAAATACTTAAGGAGAGCGAGGTGGAGTAAGAGACGCGCGCGCGGTCACCATGGCGCGCCATTGTCGACGATCGACGAGTTGACGGGCCGCGCGCCTGAGCTGTGTGAGGTGTGCACGTCGAGGAAAAGAAGTCAAGCACACGGCCGAAACGAAACCGTAACGGTCGGTGGTGACGGGTGTGTGTTTTGTTGTGTGTGGATGTGTGTGAAGCAGCGCGCCAGCTCATTCGCGACAGTCGTCGGCAATTCTCGCGGCATCGAGATACCTGGTGGTGGCATCGAGAAGGAGAGAGAAGACGACGGATAGCGACGATGCTCGCGAATTCGTTCTATTGCCGCATTTACCGTTACGTAAATATACCTCGTGGAGCCTCGTCGACGACGTCGGATCGTCTCTAACCACCGACTCCGAGGAAAAACGGAGAGGGGGGGGGGAGGATCTCAGCCGAGGGTGAGGCGGGCCTCTGCCTCTGTGGCGGGGAGGAGAGGAGCAGCGAGAGGCAAAGTCGCTCTCTCGTACGAAGGTAAAAGCCTAGCAGCTCTCCGGGCTGCTCTCCATCCGGAAGAATGGTTTCGAGATATGGCGTCTCGAAGGATGGCGCAGTGGGTGTCGCCGTCGGTGCCTTAGGACCCATGCATTGTCTATTGCCGCACTGTGGCGGTCCCCATCATCACCACCCTCTCACGGCGTCGCATCCGCAAAATCCCCAGCCGGGTCACAACCACCATGTGCATCCCGGCCATCAACCGCCGCCACCACCGTCACCGAGTCCCCACCTCAATCAACTGACGCATCCCCAGCTCACCGTTAACATCAGTCACCTCGGCCATCACCATCATCAGCATCATCAGCAGCAACCGCAGCAGCAGCAACAGCCACCGCAGCAGCAACAGCAAACGCAAATGCCGCCCCAATACCGAGTCGCCGCGAATAGTAAGTAGATGAGGGAGGCAGCGTGCTCTAAATCGATTCTTAATTCATCTTTCGTTTCCTTCCTGTTACAATAAATCGTTAGTTGGGATCTACGATAGGTGTTTTTAAGCCTCGATCGATTGTAATTCGTCCATGTCTTATGGCTTAAGGCTTAAAAACCTATTGTAGATCCGGACTTACCGAAGACTTGAGTCTTAGGGCGGGAACACAGTCTTCAATAACGCATAAGAATATCAACCAATCGTAGTCCTTCGTTTCCTTCCTTTCCATGAAATGTAAGACTGATTGGTTGATTTTCTTAGGCTTTATGCAAAGGTCTGCATACCACTCTTTAAGTCGTAAGAGTATTAATTGACCAATCATGGTCGATTATTCTTCTCACGTCCGACTGTAATTGGTCAATTTCTTATGATTTAGAGCTTAGATAATGGCTAGTTGTGAAAAGTCCGTTAGACAACTTTAGTATTTTTCCCCGCTGGGAAGAAGAGATGAAAATTGATAGATTGATTATAGTTTGCGACGTCCGAGATCTCGATTTTACGTGTTAATCGATGATAATTCTTGATGGTTAGTGATCTATAATTATTTTAGCCGACAGTCAGATACCACTGTTCGTAGTCCGATCGCGAGACTGTACGCTGGATGTGCGCCAAACAGCTGACCGAAAGTCAGCGTAAGGCGATTCATCGATCTCAAAAGTCGTCTGTCTGACACCGGATGTGTATCGCTCTGAATCGATTGTCGTTCTTGTCCTCGCTGTTTCAACTTCCGCCCTCCGTCGAATGCAGTGCTAGATTTATTTACCTAATCTCTTGAGACTGATACTTGTGTTTGCTGAGTATTTTCACACACAGTGAAACGTTTTCACTCCACATTTCTATGCGAGGTAGTCTAGAACCCTTCACTCGATAAACTTGATCATCCTGTTTCTAAACTATCCAATATTTTCATTAATTGTTAATGAAGAAAGAGAGAGAGAGAGTTTACGCTCTAATTCTAATTTTACTGATTAAAATTCCAATATGAATACCTACATCAACATTATCGTTATTATATTAACCTATTATTTAAATATTTCAAGCAGTTGTATTATAGACGTATTTTACAATATTAAATCTATACTTTACTAAAGAAAATACTGAAAGTTATACTGAAGGAAACAAATACAATTAGTTTAATAATTAAATTAGTCTAAAAAATCATAGGTATTTTCTATTCAAAATAGATGGAACAAAAGTTGCTCAAATTCTTGAAAGGTTTAATATAATTAATATATAACTCGATTAATATAATTTGAAAAGATTAACTTAATTAATTTATGAGGGTTCTTTGTATCGTGAGAATTGACTCTGATTATAGCAAGTGCGCAATATTTTAAATATTGGACTATGTACAATCAGCGCATCACAGGCATATGACAGAAGTCATCATATCCTTTCAGAGGATTATGGTCGGAGGAGGAGGAGTGTCAGGATTAAAATTATCCGAGTGGCCGAATTCTACTCCAATTCGCAGCCCTCATCTTCAACGCGTAGTCCGATATGGGCTACTGATAAAAATCAGACGTGAAGCTATTCGATGCGTTGCAAGGCAGAAGCAAGCTCGAATTAAAATAAGATCAAGCCACACGTCATATAGATGCTTTAAACTGTATCCGAATGTCTCATTTTGCGCCGTGTACACGCTGATTATTAATGCGAACAACATCGTGAACGATAACACGGCGCAAAATGAAACATTCGGATACACAGTTCTCAGTAGCCCATATCGGTCTACGCATTGAAGATTGCAGGCTGCGAATTGGAGAGTAGAATTCGGCCAACCGGATAATTTTAATCCTGACACTCCTCCGTCCATAATCCTCCGAAAGGATGTGGTGACTTCTATCGTATGTCTGTGGTGTGATTGCTGATTGTACACAGTCATGAGGGACTTGGGCCCAGTTTCACAATTCACATTCTAGAATTGAAAAGAGATAATGAATAAGTTGAATCTCGGTTAAGAGTTAACCATCAGTTCTGAAACTGGGCCTTACAGTTTAACGTCGATTCCGATTTTGTTTATAGAAGTGCACATGGCAAGGATACTCTCGGTGGTTTGCCGTTGCCTGCTGAGAGGAACTATGAGCGTACGAAATTTTTTCTTTACGATTTGAACCCAGGACACAGTATAAGTAACAACAGTAGGTACACTCTGTTAAAAATAGTGGCGACCGTTCTGCACAATTCTACACAATTTTCAACATGACCCAGTAGAACATAAAGATCAAATGTGCCGACACAGAGTGTACCTATACTGTGTTCTTACTTATATTGTGCCCAGGATCTCTGGCATAGCAGTCTCGTACGCTGCCAGCTACGCTCGAAGTCCTGACACTCTTTATCCTAAATTGAATTTCCAATTTGCAGTCTCCAGTATATATAATCCTCGAGCCTAATTGCATCGCGATTTCTTTTTGCATGTTTAGATTCACGCACGAAAGGAACTACTTTGAAGTATCTAAAAATTTAGATAGATCCAGCTTTAAGAAAATAATTCTGTTGGATTATCAAAATAATTACGTAGGAATCCCAAAAGAGTTTCGACATGCTAGTAACCAGTTTAGAGCCCTACACAATTATTTTGGCAGTCCAACAAAATTATCTTTCAGATTTCTAGCATAATTTTCATAACGTGTTTCCGATTACAATGACTTTGAACCGATCTGGGTTGGATTAATGACGTCACACGCTCTATTAATAATGAAGCATGCAACGTCATTAATCCAACCCAGATTGGTTCAAAGTCACTGCGGTCGAAAATATATTACAAAGATACTTTAGCAAAACCATCCTTTTCGAATGAGCTTCCATATAGAATGCCGTGCAAAAAAAAAAGTGCGCAGCCATTGGCTGGCTCCATCGTGGACAATGAAAACCCGCGACCGACGATGGTAGCACAGTCTTTCGCTTCTCTGCTTATTGTTTGTATATTTATTTACTATTTCCGACGTTCTCTCTCTCCTAGAACTCGTCCTTGACTCTGTCGGGCGATACGATCCGCGCTAACGTAATTCGAGAGACGACTCCGACTCTCGGGCTGTCACATCGCGATCATTGAACCTTTCCTGCTTCTTTTTTATCGCGCGCGACCAACACGGACGCCGAATGTATCAGCGCGCGTGTGCGCGCAATCACGGAGCGGAATGATGCGAGACGCGTTATTTTCGAGCCGCACCGGGGGTAGTTAATCTGACCCGGTGACCTATCTGTCAAGAGTCGAATCATTCGTGTCTATTTGCAGACGCGCACGGATTCGAGTCCGTCGTGCCTTTCCTCTCCTCTCCCTCCTCTCTTTCCTTCTTCCTTCGCGAGGAACGGATAGGTACAATGCCGCTGTCACGTTAAAACGATGACGTATTTAGCATGTATGAAGCTCCAACACGTATACGGAGCTTTCAACATCGATTTTAATCCCGTTGGTGTTGTCGAAGCTTCGCTTATGCCCCGTTTCTACCAATGTGGATTAACTTCAATCTCGGTTCCACTTACTCCTCATCTTTTTCTAATTTTTAGAACTAGAAAGGGATGAAGAAAAGGACGAAGCGTCGGTTGAACCCGGATTAAAGTTAAACCGCATCGGCATAGGCATACCCAGAATTTCAGTTTATCTTTACACAAAACTTGGTGAAATATTTATGTTTATTAAAACCAGCCTTGGAGGTGAGGATCTCCAACGAACTTTCTTAATAACGTGTGATGCCCATTTTTATCAATGTCGTTTAAATTTAATCTTGGTTCTAAAAATTAGAAAAAAAATGAATAAATTGAACTGTGGTTAAAGTTAATCTACATTGATAAAAAGCAGACACGAGCTACAAATTAGGCGGAATTTAAATAATTTTCATAATTTGTTCTTTTCTCTGGCAAAATTAAGGGAGGGTAAGGAGCGAGCAAGCGCCCTTTTCTACCTTCTTTTTATACATTGTAGAAACGATACCCAGAAAGAGCAATTTCGCTAAAGAATTGAAAAATTTAGGTAGATAGAGATCTAAAAGTAATTCAATTGGATCATCAAAATAATTTTGTAGAAATATCAAGCATGACGAGCAATGCTGTAATAAAATGTTATGATGTTCTAGCAATCAAATTTTATCCTAATTACCTAATTACTTTGATGGTCCAGGAACATTATTTTCATCTATATTTAGCTTCGATTCTTCAGCAAAATTGCTCTTCCCGTATAGAAATTATAGCAATTTTCTGTAGAGAATGCGGCATTATTATTATTATTATTTTATCGTTATCTGCGCTCTTCGTCGAGTAATCAGAGTCACGAATTCGTCTCTGGAGGAAAAACATTCTGGGCGGATGACGAGCTGAAATACACCGAGTAGAGATTTATTCAAATTCTTTCTATCGAACACACCGGGCGTTTTTCCTGGTATGCGGATATCGATATATCGGGGGCGGCTTGCTATTTAGGTTAGTTCTTAGCGCCCCTGGACGGCGCTTTAGACAATTCACGATATAGGTCAATCGATAAAACGCTTTCCACCTTGTGCCGTCGTGAAGGTACGTTCGATCCTTTCCCTTCGTGCGATACGTCCCGTTTCATCTCGCCCTTTTCTCCTCTCTCACGTTGAAAGACGGCATTGGTAAATGCTCCGCGATAAGCCGGAACGTAATAATTTGGGCCTCTCGAAACGCTATCTTCAAACTCGTCTTATCGCGCATTATTCACGTGCTCGTTCACGAACTTGACGCGTTAAATTCCAAGGTAAAGTTTTCTTTTTAATATTCCGCTTGCGAAGGAAATAGCCTTTGAGGTGATCTAACGATCGAAATATTAGGTAAAGTATGATTAATGGCGCGAAGGCAACCCTTGACAAATCGATCTACGGTGAGCTTCCGCCTCGCGATTCTAGGATATCATTCATTACCATGTGACATCGACCGTCGGCCGTCCGTTTATTACATTCGAGAGGTTCTTAAAATCTTCAATGATACCGCCATTATAGACAAACTCGGACGGCCAGCCAAGAAATTAAGGACCGCGGCACACAAAACTTAGGATGCTTCTTTCCATTTAGTGTCGGGACAAACATCGTTCTATCTTCCTTGATATTCCATTGAGGAACAAAAATAAGAACCATTTGTGTCGAAGATGATGCAACACTCGGACGAAAACGTGCCTGTTCTGACTTCATGGAAAAAAGGTTCGACAGCTTGAATGTATCCTGCGAGAAAATAGAAAAAAATATGTGAAGACAGGGAGGTCTCGTTGCAAATGAGTCTTAGGTTTGTTCTTTTCTGCTGAGTTTTTTTGCACAGTTTATATTTTTTTTCTCTTCAAAATTCCTAAAGAGACTCCTTTTCTTTTTACATTAAAGAAAAAGGAATTACCTGTGAAGGTAAAGAAAACAAGACTGAGGTTTATTAATTATTATCGACCTCCCTTTACATATTTTTTATATTCTTTTTTGTGGGTTTAACTTATTCAACCCATCGAACCTTGTTTGTGATATGTTTTGGTCTGTTCTTTTTATAGCTAAACTTCTGGTATGGTTTATTTTTCTTTTTTCTTCAACGTGAAGAGAATCCTTTTAAAGGAAGAAAAAAAGAAAAGGATGAAGCGTGTAAGAAGTTCAGCTACGAGGAACAGGCTTTTTATCTCCACAATGCTAAAAATCGTTCCGAAACGTCAGATGGGGAAAGCAATCGCATTGGTCAATTGGCTGAATTGTTTAAATGTGATTCGTTAATTTTTTCTTCATCCGAGACCTCGGAGCGATTTATATAGCATCGTGGACACGGGGCTTTACGAAGAGCAACGTTTCCACGATCTCTCTCTCTCTCTCTCGTTTCCCTGATAATATCGATGCCGCGCGCGCCACGTGGCTTCCCGAGCGGCGAGATAGACCCTAACCTAACTTAACTCTCCTCGGCTTCCACTCTCGCGACTCTCCGGGCGTTCCGCATTCGCGCAGCGCCGTACCGCTTCCGATCGGCGCGTTTAAGGCTCGTTAACGTTACACCCGGAGTCAAAGTCTATTTGGAATGGTTGCGCGCGGCGTGACGCGGCGCATCGTCCGGACTCCGGCGCCGAGGGGATCGGCAATTCGGCGGGTGGGGTGTGAGAGGCCTGCATACGTCATTCATCTCCGGAAATGACGTATGGCGAGGCCAGGCGCGGCACTCTGCATACCCTAGGCTCTCCGTTCTCCTTCCCTCTCGAGATCGTAACTTACTCGGTACTCCGCGAGTCCGCGCGAGATGCATTCCTAGGTCTGTTCGCGTTACTTGCACTTTTTGCACTCGACTTCTCTCTCTCTCTCTCTCTCTCTCTTCAACGCCCGAATATATATTTATCTCGGTTTAAGGGCAACGATTTTTGAGAGTCTCATGCAATGCGGACACTTTTTCACGCTACGAGATCTCTTTCCTTGCTCCATAAGTTTTGATCCCACCACGAGATGCGACAGGAAAGGTATCGTGTGAAAAATTTGATGTTTATTTCGCCAAATGACACGAATACTTTGCAGCGCTTTTCTCGAAAACTTACGGTTCGTCTACAATGGGAGTAAATTTGTACATAGTAAACTGTATGAAATTGACGGCTGTGAGTGATCGATTTTTTATGGCTTACAACTTACGCCCATTTCTATCTTAAGTTAATAATAAATTAACTTTAATCTTGGTTTAATTTATCCTTCATTCTTTTCTAATTCTTAGAACTAAAAAAAGATGAAAAGTAAATTAAACTAAGATTAAAGTTAATTTGCATTGATAAAAACGAGCGTTATTATACCGTATTACTCCCATTGTAGATTCTTTAAGGCTATGGCACACAAAACAACGTAAAGTTTATTTTACAATAATTACGTAACCGTAATTGTGTAGGAATTGATTATTCACAATCGAATATGAGAATATTTGATCACTCAGGCAATAAAATATAAATAGTAAACGAATTCGCCAATCACGGAACATAAAACAGTAATATAATTAATTGCAAATTATAAAATATTGATTTATATTCATCGCTCCAGTCTTTTATGTGTACCATGATCTTTATCCTTTGATGTAAAACTGTTTTAGGAATAATATCAATTTCCTAGTTGAAAATCACAACGCAAGTATAATAAAATTGATAGAAAGGTCAAACAAACAAACAAACAACTAATTAGGTCAGATTAAAACAAGTTGATTAAATTCTATTTTAAGAACATCGATTAAAAGATCGGGATAATAAAGAGAATGCATCTCTTTCGGAATTTTCGGATTCCCGTTAGCGAGAGATCGAGACGTCGAGCCGTTCGATCGAAACCTATTCGGATCGAAGCGTGAAAAGCGTAAGGTACAGGAAACGCGTGTTGGAGTTAGCGGAGTAGCGCGCATTTCCGGCGGGGTCGCTCCGTTCACGGCTGCGAATTCTGCGAATCGATGCCTCGGCGATGTGACAGATGGCAGCACTGCGCCCCGGTCCCTGCCCACATGTGCAACTGGCAACATGGCTGTCCGCCGAGGTCGGGCCGTCGGTGCGTTTGCCCACGTTCGAGTCTCGTTGTCGCGCTCACGGCGTTAAGCTTTCGTAATCGTGACGTCACGGCCGTCATCCGGAGGATCGTCGCGCGGAGACGCGCGGCTCGCATCAGGAAACGGGATCTACGCGGACGATACCGCGAACGGGTGAGAGCTCGCGACGTATGGGGGAAACGATCCCATATTTTTCCTCGACTTCGAACTGTCCGTTTCTTCCCTGCCTCCGTGCCTTGATTTAACGCCGTAGAGAGAAAATGGGGAAACGTCCGTGCGACGGATAGAAACTTCTCCTCCGCGTCCGAGCCGCGCGAGAATTTCGCGACCGATTCTGTCTTCTCCGGCGGGATTTACCCGCGGGATTATCTTGATAATCCGACCGGGGAACGGTTGACGTCAACGTTTCGTGCAACGGTGCCGAGTCGCACGTATTCGTCTTTCGCGAGTAATTACTAATTGGTTACAACGTGGAGTGGGACGAAGGCGAAGGTGTCAAGCAGACATTATCGAAATTGGACGCGACGTGTTTCGGGTGCTTCTCCGTACCCTACTTATCTATGCTACGTAAGCGTTGACGCCTTGTACATCATTTATTCGTAAGAACTTGGAATATGTTTTTCTTGTCGTGCGATTCGTCTTATTTTATTAAGAATTTCTTTTAGAGATGAAGTTTTAGGATTATTACGAATATTATTTCAGTTTTATTATATGGCACATTTTGCATTTTTTTTTTTACTGTTCTGTTTACGAAACCGACAATTATTGTTACGCATCGATGATTTTACATTTTCTAAAGATGAATAAATGAATTTATCTCTCTTTATTACATGGTATATATATATATATACATATATTGACGTATGCGAGTTAGATTTGAGACATAATTGAAAAGTACGGGCAATAGAAACAGGAAATAACAGATGTTAATCTATCAAAATACTGTATTTTTCAGAATACACTTTTGATAGGAAAATCTGTTGTTCCTTGTTTCTATTGCCTGTGCTTTTCAATTGTACATCAGGGAGCACAGTGTCTTGCATAACGCATAATGCATAAGAAAATGAACCAATCCTTTCTTTCCACGAAATAAAAGAATCTGATTGGTTGATTTTCTTATGCAAAAACGTATTACGCAAGAAACTGTGTCCCTTACGCACAATCTACAATAAGTCGTTACTTAAGCTTTAAGTCTTAAGCTGTAAGAAATTGAACTGTCGTAGTCAAATGTGAGAAGAATAATCGACTATGATTGATCAATTTCTTACGACTCAAGACTTGTAGTACATAGTTTAGAATTTTAAGCTTATTGTAGAAAGCTCATTAAGGTCATGGGCATACAGGAAGACTTGAGCAATAAAACGTAAGCAGTAAGCGAATTAATCAATCAGAATGGAGACCGTAACGTAAGCAGTAGTAATTCAATATATTGTTTTCCTTTTTACGTTTTACTGCTTAAGTAAGTTTTTTCGTGTGTGTGTAAGACTATAGTCTTAAAGACTTTACTTCTTAATTTTTAGCGGAACAATCCAAGATATGTCACGTCTAGCTGTAACGAGATTAATCAGTCTAAACGTAATGATTCATTTCTGTTTCCGGTATATGCATCTCGCATCGATGGTCGAAGCTCGAAGCGATAACATTTGCTCGATAAAAGATGTTTAAACGGAAGATATAAATTTTAATGACAAGAAAATTAATTTATTTTGTGTTATTATTTTATACATGTTTTTATTTTATGATTTTAATAATAATATCGTATATTTGTATATTTGTTGTATATTTGTTTCTTGTATATTTGTTGTATATTTTATATATAGAAGATCGAGAACTATGCAATCTATGTTATTATACAACTCTACGAAAGATTTAAATAAAAAATTATATAAGTTGATTGTATGAAAATGTCCCATGAAAAATAAGTTTTCATATCGTGAGAGTAACACTGGGAATTGTTGTTTTATATGCCACGCGTACTTTTATCGTATATAAAACGTGAACAAACACCTGGTCGTGATCTGCACATTTTCAGATAGCGACTCATATGAATTATATGATTATGTAATTGTTGTACAGATATAGACATGTTGAGTAAGTTGTAAATTTTGTTTCAGGATCGGAGTTTCATGGAAACTACAGTGCCCAGCCAGGGAGCCAGGTGGGTGGCAACGCCGCGAGTAATGTAGGAGTACCTACGGGTAGAGGGCCCCCGCCGCTCGGCGGTATACAGACGATAGGACAATCCGCAGCGGGTATACCGCCAGGAGGTCCCGCTGGAGGACAAGCACCCTCGCAGGCGCCGACACCTGGAGTGCAGTCGCAACCGCCGCAAGGTCCAGCGCCTACTACGACACCACCTGTGCACACACCGTCGCCTCAGGAAATGGGAAAACAGGCCCACTTACAGACGCAGCAACCGTCTTTACAGCAAGTTTACGTGCCGACGCAAAACAGACCGGCGTCTCAAGTATGTACTCGTAATAGCGAAAAGAAATATTTTCCTTTACTTTTAAGTGAGTGGGTAACCGCAGCACCTCATAGATTTCTTTAAAACTTTGTTCTGGAAAAAAAGAAAAAAGTTTGTCTAAATCTCAAGTTCATTATTTTTACATTTTTTTTTAAATCTCATAAGGATATAATTAATGTAAATTTAAATGTAATATGATATACTAGTAAAAAATGGAATTATAAAATTTAAATTTTTTTTAGGACGTTCTGAGCATTCCAATTTTCGTATCTTTAAATAACCTATCTACTTAAAATAAGAAATTGATTTTGTGAAATTAATTTTGCTCATCAATCTCGTGCAGGGCTATTATCAAACGGGTCCAAGGCCGCAACAACCGCGAGGTCTGAGTCACAGAGGTGGTCAAGGCGCCAGTGGAACACCAGTAGTCGGAATGGCTGGGGTAGGTGGAGGCGGAGGACAACCGCCTGCTATATACTCTCATCCGGCTGGTTTACCGGTGCAAGCATCAAGTGCAATGTATTTAAGTCAAAGTCAAGTCCATGGTCTTCACACGGGGCCTCATCAACAATCGGTGTATCCCATGAACAGTCAAATACCGATTCATCAGGTACACGTATTGATATTTATATTGTTATTTAATTAAACATCACTTGTGTGTCTTTTATACGAATATACTTTCTTAAGATATATCCAATCGAATAAAAATGTAACAAACTTTTTCCGTTTGTTTTCAGTTTTCTGGTCCACCTCAAAGGCACCAGCCACAAAATCAGTCGTATTATCAAACGTTTCAGGCCCCTCCACCAATTTTGCCAAATGTGTTCGCTGGATATGCTCACCCGCCCGCTCAGCACGGCTGTGAGTTACCCAACGGTTCACGTTCCATACCAAGTAGTCAATACAATCGTAATTATGTTGAAGTACCGTTGTATTTGTTAACAGATTTTTACGCAGCGTCAAACACAATGAGTTTGACTAGGGCGAGTACAAGTGCGGTCAGCGGTGGTGCGCAACATGTCGCAGGTCCGCTGGCCGGTACTCAAGGTGCTCCAGTTGTACCGCAAGGTACACTTCAGCAACCTACTCAACAAGCCCAACCCCTGCCTCCGATGGGTATACCTCTGTCACAGACTGGTAGGTTGCTCTCAAATCTACTCGGATATCTACTTAACCTTCCGCTGGCAACTAGTGTCTTTAAACTGATAACTTTAAATATGTAGAAGATAAATAAAATACCATTCAATTTCTATGATGGTAAATATTTGTTGTTAAAACTTTTTGACATGTATACTAGAATTTTTTTCAGATTTTTATATCATTCACAAAACAAGAAATTTGCTGTATTTTTCGAAAACAGACATTTGCTGATGGAAGAGTTAACAAAAATTCATGTTGCCGGCGGAGAGTTAACATATTATTACTTGTATTAATACTTTGTTTATATTTTTGACCCAAAAAGACATAACTAAAGAATACAATATTACGTAAACACTTATAAGCTAATGGGTCTATTTTTTTTTGTGTAACAGGATCTTTATCTAAATTGGAATATGTATTCTTCTTTTAAAGATGTATATTCGGGACATAATGGTGGTGTGACAAATACTAACAGTACCACCAGGTCTCGAAAACCTAGAGGCCAAAATGCCATTTTGGATATAGTAAATCCATTAACGGGAAAAAATATAAGTGATGAGATTTATAAGGATAACGAAACTACACAGAGTGGTGAATCTAGTAATCGCGAGACGCCACAACCACAGGTGAGTTGCATTAAAATATCTTTACAATTGACTAAGAGAGTTTAGCATTGGTTGAGTTTATCTATTCTTGATAAATAGCTAATACAATGTAAGAGTATCTTCTATGTATATACATGAAACTCTCGTAGCCAATTGTTTGTACTTATATCTGTGTACCCACACGAGCCATATCCTCTATCAAATTATCAAGTGCTGAAATAACACTCGAATGAAAAAAATTGATCGATTAGTAAGATATTAAATATATATAAAAGAAAATATCTCCGCGATGACATTTAACTTTGATATCATTCAACTTGATATCAATGTTTCTTCTTTCACTTGTCCATATATTACTTGTTATATATTATTATATGAAGGAGGATCGAATGGCTGTAGGGTGACAGATTTGTAAAGTCTTGAACATTTATTTTGTTCGTCCAAGTGCTTTTATTTTGATTTCTCTCGCCCTATGATTTGAGTTTGGAGCCAGTTTTTAGTTACCAAACGTAATACCTGAATGAATAGTACGTGCCACCGTCTATCACACAGATTTGGTGATTGTTACAGAATAACGGTGCGGAGGTGATAGCCGATTTCGCGGCTCGTGTCGCAAAAGCCGCGACCGAGGGATCCGAGACGGTATCGACGAGTGCGTCTGAAACAGCGCCTAATACAATACAAACAACGGCGCAAACGTCGTTATCGAACATTCATACCAATTCCGCTAATGACACAAATAATCGGTGTAGCAGTAGTCCGCCTATGGCAAAAAATATAGCTGGTGCTGGCGCTAGCAAAACGGTACCTACGATAAATAGTCAATCATCGTTAGGTACTTGTAGTAACGCAACGCAAAGCGACTCAAACGTAGCTAAAACAGAGTCGAAAGTGTTGCAACTCCCCGTGAAGGAGTTCCAACCGAGGAGTGAAATAAAAAGTGTGGCGATCGAGGAATCGTCACCCGTCGTATCCTCGGTGATAGCCGTCGCGAATAAAGATACTATTTCCGTACAGCTTACCGCGCCGATTGTTAACACCGAAACAACGGCTGTGACAGCGACAGTGATGGCCGAAGTTGAATCAGAGACCGTCGGAACTACTGGCGCTGTAACTGCAACCGGAGTTGGAACTGCAAGCGTAACTGGATCTGAGGCCACCAAGCATCTCAACGCCTCGTCCAACGTAGTACAGACACCGGCTACCCCATATTGGAGTAATGTTACCATTACCCAGGAAATCCCGAAACCGTCCGCCACTGCCTCGAGCGCCAATCCCGTTCCTACTAGGGAGCCGTTCCCTAATCTCGCGTCAAAAACTTCGTCGAATTCGCCGCCGAGGAGGAAACCCAACGCTACCGAGCTGCCTTCGAATACCAAAGAGCAAAAGGAGAGGAAGACCCGGGAGAAGAGTCTTGGTTCTCGCGGCGCCACTCCCACGCCCGTCGTTCACAATCAAGCGGCGGATCACCATCATCAGAAGACGAACGGTGACGCAGCCGGTGACAAATCCGAAGCGGAGGTGGTGCATCCTAGAAATGAGATACAGCAGAAACCATCAGATGGTAAGTGCTTCGATTCATTTCACGAGAAAGTTTTATCGTCTACCTAACGGAACTTGGCCTTCGAAATTATCTCACCGGCTATAGTTTTCATTTCGTATCGCTTCAACACCGAATATCAAATTGTTCTGTTTAAAAATTTTTTCCGCTTGCAATCTCCATATATATAGATACAATATCTAATCATACGTAAGTTATTATATTAAACGATGAAATAGCTTGAAAATTGCAGAGAGGACGGACGAAACAAAGTGCGATATCTCTCCATCACACGCGCTGGGACTTTGAATTGTTACGCTTATGCGAGCGCAGCCTTGAACGAATTTACTCAAAGATACGTCAACCGTCCTCTCTCTTTTCTTTTCTCTTTTATTCGCGATTGGAAATTCATTCGCAGGGCGCGATATCTGTTTGAGATATCCGATGCTGTCGATAACAAGCAAGCATATGGTTATTATTTGTTAATAAGAACCGCAATATGCATTTCTTAAGAGAATGTTCTTGGGAATTCTAAACGCCACTCGTTTCGCTCGTTTGAACTTTGCGCCGTGCGTTCACGATAGCACGTCGAGATAACAGACAGCAGTTTTGACTGCGCTTTCTAGATAAAAATAAATTTTCGATTCCCTCGAGAGATTTTTGACGTTTGCGTTTTGACGTTTCGTTATCCGATACTTGTATGGAAATACCTTAAAAGGAAATGTCAATCGCGCAAATACTGTAACTACGATTAATCATCAACTACAGCTGGGAAGTACAACTGTTCGATATTAAAGGAGCACTGGTAACCTAATCCCTTAAATTAAATAACATTTTGTTATTTTTAACTTTCATGTCAAAAAGCAAATTAATCTATTTCTGTCGTTAGTTTCAAAGTAAATAACGTCCATAATAACGTATGCACTTACAATTAGTAAATAATGCATTTAAGTCAAATTTACATTTTGTTCAGTTAAATTGTCTAACTTTATTGTTTTAGTTAAATCAGCGATATATTAAGTAGGAACAATAGCGACTTATAAAAATGATTAAAAATAACACAAATTGGATATAATTTGACATTATGAATTTAACAATGTACGTAAGTTCTAAAGCATTTTTTGTAAAAAGAGTTTGATAGTAATTACCAAATGTTGTATATAATGAAATAATTTCAAAGTTAAAAATAATTTTACTTTTCTAAATACTTAGTAATTATTACTAAACGGTTAATAAATATTCAGAAAAGTAAAATTATTTTTAGTCGTATTAATCAAATATTTGATAAAAATTATTTCATTCAATGTTGGTAATTATTACTAGATTCTTTTTTTTAATGTACCTGAACTTTTGCTTTTTTATGTAATTAAAGAAAGTTTACAGTTATTTTAACTAAAATTTCTAAACTTATAGTGCAGATCATACAACTCTAAAAATTTTTCCTTTGGTTCCAAATGACTCATGTAAAGTTAAATCGACATTACACGCAGAAAATCATTCTGTTGTTGAAAAGTAATTACTCAATACTTTCTTTTAAATAATGATTGTCTTTAAAAAGAATATTTCCTTGAACAATTCTTTCTAATAATCTTAAAATATACTTATTATAAATTCTAGAAAAAACATTATTACGTATTTAAAACAAGAATTTATTTTTTAAGAATATCATAAAATTTGGAGAAGTGACTCTTTAATTAAAAAAATTTTTTTAAGTTTAATACTTCAATCAATTATTAAATTAAAACAAATTTAATTTGCTAATATTAGCAAAAATATTTTTTTTTAAATATTTTTTTCTTAATAATTTACTAATATTAGTAAATTAAATTTGTTTTAATTTAATAACATTGATTGAAGATTTAAACTTAAAAATATTTTTTAAATTAGAATTCAGAATATATTTTGCTCGCATCTTTTGCACTTAGAGTCGCTTTTTCAACACCCGAATATATATTTTTCTCATTTGCAAAAATTTTGGGGAATTTCAAGCAACGCAAGCAGATGTTCATTTTTATCAATGTAGGATTAATTTTAATCCCGATTCGACTTAATTTGCTTCTCTTTCTTAATTCTTAGAATTAGAAAAAGATAGAAAATTAAATCGAAATTAAAATTAAACAACATTGCAGAAACAGGCACAAAGCTCGGTCCCTAATGGAAGGTTTACTTTAATCTCGTTTTAATTTACTGTTTTAATCTTTCCCTAATTCTTCGAATTATAAGAGACAAAGAGTAAATTAAATGAAGATTAAAATTAATCTTACGTAGGAACTGTTTTATTTGTTTCTAATTCTTAGAACAAGAAATAATAATATAATAGATAAACTGAGCTGAATTGAAGTTAATCTTACATTAGTGGAACCGGGGTTTAATAAAATCCGGCATTCCGAACACGTTGCCGGAAGACACCGTGAAATATTCCCGCGCGCGCGCTCACGTGCCGTTGCTAAGCTCTGCGTCGGCGTCGGTAAATCTCGGCACTTGCTCTGAAGAGGGCACCCTCCAGAAACCCTAACCTGACGTAACCTAGCTTGATCTAACCTAAAAGCCACGAGGAGAATCGGTGTCGTCGCGTGCCGTTAGCCGGGGTTCTGCAGGGTGCCGTTGTTGCTCCGACGTATCCGCGCGTTTCTATCGCGCGTCTCTTCACCGGCGAACGAATTCAACGCCGAAGATCCACCGCGAGGACTACAAAAATTACGAAACGTTCGATTTTCGAATTCGCGGACCGTTGCTCGAACAAAAGCGCAACGTGGCTTGGACTACTTTGGCCGTTTTTAATTTTAAATGTTCGTCCACTCGAATTCGCTCGCACTCGTCTGTATTATTGTGTGATTATTTATATTGAATATCGAATTCGCGCTCGTCGGTTGTTTTAATACTTTGTTCGATCTTCGAAAAATTAATTAAGTGTTCCGCGTAGTGACTCGAAGCGTCGTTAATTTTCCGTGCCACGTGATCTTCAGTGTGATATGTATGTTTAGTGTTATTTGTTTATTATTATTTGTAAAGTCCTTCCTATTCGAATTTCGAACATCGATCAATTCGTACTTCGGCCTATAACAAGGAATACAAAATGAAAAAGGGTAAGATAGACTGTTCTTGTACTTTCCTTTCTTTTCCACGCGCAATAAAGATACTGGATTCGTTCCTTGAAGAGAGAACTATAATTTATTTAAGAGGCAAACAACGTCACAATAAGGAAACCCGGACGTTTCCCATCAAATGTATCCGATATAATTAATATTTCCGAATGTAATTAATTAATTTTCCGCGGGAAGGATACTCGGGTCGATCTGCTGATTCGTCCGAGGGAAATAATCGATACCGTCAGCTTTTTTCTCCCCCGTCCTACTTAGCTTCGAAAAATCATTGTTGTCATCTTCGCGTCTAAACAATCGGAATTCTTTCGACGACCGTTACGGACGCCGAAGGTCCCTCGATTCCTTCGTCTATTTTCTGCGCTATGATACGATCGCGTGGTAGGTAAGTTGGCGAACGAGGGAGAGGTAGGCACGGCATGGCAAGGCAAGGCAAGGCAAGGCGAGGCGAATCGGAGGAGCCAGGCCAAGCCGGAGCCGAAGGAGTCGAGACGAAGGCGAACGGTGACGCGATTGCGCGAAAATGGCCGACGGGCCGCGATGACGAACGAAGCGGGATTAACCGGTGGACCGGCGCTGGAAGGAACGGAAGGAGGAGGGAGAGAGGAAGTCTACCATCGTCGCCGAGAGGGAACCGGACCGGACGGCCTTCAGTAGCCAGCACGTGCTGCGCTAGCCGGTCGCATTTTACACCGCTCTCTTCTCTCCCAATTTCTGTCCCTTCCTCCTTTTTTTTATTTTTCTACCTTTTTCCTTTTTTAAATTCGTCTCGTCCCACCCTTCCTCGAAAAACGAAAAAAAAAAGAAAAAAAAGAAAGAAAGACCCCTCCGAAGATCGATTCGACTACCACTTTCAATCCCCGGGCTTTTCTCCGCGGTCTCTTTCCTTCTACACTTCCCGCAAATTCCCGCATTTTACACACTTGCATTACTTTTACCGCTCAGGCAATGAAATACGCTTATTATACCTTTCTCGCCGCGCTGTGTTTTACAGTCTGATTTTACACTCCAACGTAACGACCTTCGCAATATAATTTTGTACATACATACATATATATATATTTTTTTTCTTTTTTTTTTTTATATCGAACTGCGCCCTATACACGCATCGTTTTTAACCGAAATCCTTTTCCCCATCTGTCTTTCCGTTCCCCGAAAGTTCGTCCTTTCTCATCGAACGAGTTTCGGTCTAGTGAGAAGTTGGTATCGCGCGTTCGAAAACGCGGAGCAGTGAAAAGTGCCCGAAGTTCGGAGCAAGAAAACGGGGAGAGTGAAGAAAAAGGGCGAAGGGCCCTACGTCGAGAGATGTACGTACGAACGGCATTTATCTTTCTCGGTCGCGTCGCACCTTTCGGTGCAACGTGATCGAAGATGGTCGCTACCTGGCCCGACAACGTGGTTCCCGACATCTTGTGGTCGGCGAGACGGGACGAGGCGCGGCG